CGCATAAATGTTCTAAATCAAAGTTGTTGAGAGTCAATTATGCACCCTGCTAGAGCGTTCAAGGAGCCCGCGTAAGTGTTTAAAATGGTGCCTGCTTGCTGGCTACATTTACATCCTATCACGAGTCATGTGTATGCAATAAGGCGTGATACTGCTTCAGATTTTGAATCCTATATGCCGCTTAAAGTTCAGTGGTGGCTGTGGCGGTTTCTTACCTAATCCTTTTACTTTATGTCACCAGAAATTATGGATGAAGAAAATTTCACGGAACATGGCATTGGTGAACTCCCTCAAAATCTTTACGACGAAGAGCAACTCAACTCTTACGACAATACGGCGCAGTATAATGAAGAGCCCAGTGACTCGTACAACGAAGAGCCCGGTGACCAATTCGAGGAAGGAGCTGGGAATACATACAACGAGGTGCAAGCAAATTTGCTCAGCGAAGAACCAGAAACTCAGTATGATGATGAACCAGCAAACGTTTACCAGGAAGAGAATGCATACAATGGGGAAGTGAAGCAACAGGAAAGCTTGCAGGTAGAGGGTGATGATAAGAGGTGGCCAGGTTGGCCAGGAGATAGTGTTTTCCGTATACTGGTCCCAGCCCAGAAGGTGGGTGCCATCATTGGCCGCAAAGGGGAGTTTATCAAAAGGATGTGCGAGGAGTCTAAAGCTCGCATAAAAATACTAGATGGCCCACCTGGTGTAACAGAAAGAGCAGTAAGTATCTGTATAAAATCTTGATGACGAGTTCGTATTCTTATCAAAAAAATGCAGCCAGTATATTTCTATATTGTCAATAGTGGGTTTTGTGTGTTGTTTTCTTGCAACACTACCTTTTAAAAGGTTTTTCTGTTGATGATTTTTTTTTTCATTTATTATGAGCTGGTAGAAGGGGAGCCTTGGCGCAGTGGTAAAGCTGCTGCCTTGTGACCATGAGGTCACGGGTTCAAGTCCTGGAAACAGCCTCTTACAGAAATGTAGGGAAAGGCTGCGTACAATAGACCCAAAGTGGTCGGACCCTTCCCCGAACCCTGCGCAAGCAGGAGCTACATGCACCGGCTGCCCTTTTTATTATTTTTTATTATGAGCTGGTAAATCCCTATGTTGATCTATGTACACTACTGCCCGGTTTCCCTGCCACCCTGCCCCATAAGATACATTTGGAATGGTTCCCTAACCTAACAGTTTGGTACCTTATTTAGTCATTTTGTGTTGGTAGTTGTTTCGTGTGCTCAGTGCAGCGTTGTTTGCTTGATGCTCATTGACTTGAGGAATTTTGTAGTTGCGCTGGTAGTTGCTTGGTACCTCATTCCTCCTTTGGTTACAGGAATTTTGTAGAAATTCTATCTATATGATTCCTATAGGAAATTTCCTTTTGAGCCCTTCGGTTTGTAGGAATGGATTCCTATTCCTATGTAGGATTGCTTCCTATCCTTCACATTTCAAAGAAAAATATTTTAGCTCAGACCTAATGGAAAAGTTCCTATCCTATGAACCAAATGCCATCTCTTTTGTTGTAGGAGTTGAGATGCATGCCATCTCATTTCATATGACTTTCCTGTTCCTATGATATTCCTATACTAGGAACCAAATGAGGCCTTAAGCTTTATCTGAACATGGGATATAAATAGAAATTGTTTGTTCAACAACGAACATGCCTTGTAGAAACTAAAATACAGCTGTTGATTGAGCTACTTGTTATGACTTATGAGCAAGACCTTGTTTTTCTGATTAGTAGCAACTTAATACTCATGTAACTATTAGCATGTCCTTAACTAGTTTGAGATTTGAATGTTATATTAATTGGATCATCCACGATATTTTAGCAAATTTCTATAACAATGAAAATAATGGAAGTAATCATCATTTCTTGTTCTGCATCTCTGCAAACTAGGTCAGATGTGTTTGATGCAGAACAGCATACACACACTGGTCACTGGTGTTAAAACCAAGTATCAACTCACATAAAAAAATGAATTGGTAACTGTTTTGCATAGATATTGATCACATAGTTTTCAGCACACGCAAATAAAAAAATATAATATTATAGCTTAGCAAATTGGAAATACCCCTTCTGTTAGGGCGCTATTAGGTGTCACGTCTGCTGTGCAATAGCTATACCTCTTAGGGACATTAGTTGATTCCACTTTTTGGATATTCTTTTATTTTGAACCCCTAGTAAATCCTGCCCCCCTGTTTCCTTATATTGGTCAGCAGTTAGGATGCTGTATACTCCCTCCCCCTCTGTTTCCTTATTGTCAAAAAACGTCTTACATTATGGGACGGAGGGAGTAATATGCAAGAAACTACTTCAGCCAAAGATAACTCAACATCAGTTATCAGTTCTGTGTTTAAAATTGTCTCATCCAATATCGTTTTCCAGTCAACAAAACTAAGATTTTTAATCGATATTGGGTCTAGCTTCAATTAATGGAAAATAAATACCATCCTAGTATTGGTTGGGGATGTATCAGTACAATTGGGACTAAGTTTTTCTGTTCCAATATTTTCAAGTTGCCATTCATGGAATGGGGTATAACTGAAAGAGATTGATCATAGAATCAAGCAAATGTATCATCCATGATGCCATGGAAGTGCTTTTTCCTTGGTGGCAGATCACTGTTCTGAAAACTTCTTCTGAAGGAAAGAAGCCACATCCAAGCCGTGTACCCTGTTCATTTAGCATTTTTGGCATGATTTAGTTTTTATGATACACTACGGTGTCACTTGGCTTACCAAATGCCAGAATTATCTGTTGGTTTATCAAACACTAGACTATATCAGTTGTACCACTAATTCATTGTCCAGTATGTTCTATTATTGCCAAAATGCCTAGTTGGGGCTATCCTTGCTTCCTAAACTCCAGTTCATTAACTTGATGAAAAGTTAGCATAAAAACATTTTCTGTTTCTGAAATAAAACTCAAAAGTTCACCAAAGACAAAAAGAGTGGCTCTAAAACTAATATGAATCAAAATATACCTTTCATCAAAGTCCTGAATTGAATGGCTTTGATAATGACAACACAAGTGACTGTTTGCAGGTTGACTGCAGTCTAAGGACCCAAATCAAACCACGTCTCCAAAAGACATGGGTCTGAAAGTTCAGTTTTGGCCTCCTCTGCCGCGATCTAGGTCCTTTGAGTCTTGGATGAAGATTCCTTTCAAGATGCTCCATATATTATCTGGTAAAATTCCACGACCTGTTTGATTTTTGAACTGAAAGGAGATCACTGGGGCAAGGTTTCCTGCCTGATTGGATGACCAGCATTGTTCCAATGAAGACAAATGACCAAATATGCATTAAAAGGACAAGCGTGTACAACAGAATCATACACTTATATAAGTGAGCGTAAAACATACTACACACTTCAAAATGAGACTACATGATGAATTTGATGCTAATTTATCATCAGATGAAAGTAAGAAGTTTACATGCATTTGAAAAAAAATGCTACATCGGCATCCCTTTTTTTGCGTCCTTGTGCAATTAGCCTGAGCGTTTTGCTCAACGAAGTGCCATGAGTATTTAAATTATCAACAAGTGGACCAGGTTATGCTCGTAAGCCACTTGGAAAGATAACAAAATGTTGGTATTCTTTCTTATAGGGCTTTAGGATCTATTGCATAGGATACACAGAAAATTCGACCCTTGAAAAGGATAACAACTCCCATTATGAAGGATGTTGAATTTTGTAAAGCATGTTAACCACAAAAAAAAGGCAGTCTATTGATCACCTGTACTTGCCGAACATTGTTCTACGTTTGACTATATGTGGAGGGACTGTCATGTCAAACATTTTGCTGTTCTTGTGTGTGGATCCATCTCAGTATCAGATTGCATCTGCTGCTATTGAATTTTGTAAAGCATGTTAACCACAAAAAAAAGGCAGTCTATTGATCACCTGTACTTGCCGAACATTGTTCTACGTTTGACTATATGTGGAGGGACTGTCATGTCAAACATTTTGCTGTTCTTGTGTGTGGATCCATCTCAGTATCAGATTGCATCTGCTGCTATTCTCTGAACTGCTCACTGCTAGTGTTTACCATCTTTGATATAACTTAAATTAAACTGAGCTTCAGTAGGAGATCCATCTAATGATACTCAGGAGCATTATTATCCACAGCTTAAGAAAATGTACACCTTTTGACTTCCTTAATTGGCCTCCTTATTTGTGACTCTAATGTACTCCCTCCGTTCCTAAATATAAGTCTTTGTAGAGATTCCACTATGGACTACATACGGAGCAAAATGAGTGAATCTACACTCTAAAATGCATCTACATACATCCGTATGTGGTTCATAGTGAAATCTCTCCAAAGACTTATATTTAGGAACGGAGGGAGTAGCAATCAGGTTCTGATTGTTTAATTTACTAGATGAGAAATAGTTAGTGGGGGCTAGCTATTTAGATATAGAAGATATGTGGAGATACTATTAACTAAATACACCTGTGGGATTTCGTACATAATCCCCTGTGTTAGCAATGCTAAACCCATGGAGAAAAGTTTGGAAATTTAAGAAGTGATATTGATCTAGCAAAACATAGTTACGGTACTTACCAAGTTACATTCTTACTTAAGTTATGCATGTGTAACCCCATTCACTGAGTTCATCTGGGTCGAATGGTTTGTTTCTAAATAATTATCCATTATGTAATTTCATGTTGTGCTCTTAAAACAGCTGTCTTTAAGTGTTTAGTACTAATTTAGTGAACAATGTTTATTTTCCAATTTAAAGGTAATGATTTCAGCAAAGGATGAGCCAGATGAACCGATATCTCCAGCTATGGATGGCTTGCTTAAAATTCATAAGCGGATAACTGATGGTTCAGATGGTGAATCTGGTCAGCTCCAACGGGGTGCTAGTAATGTAGGACCAACACGACTGCTAGTGCCAGCCTCCCAAGCTGGCAGCCTTATTGGGAAGCAAGGAGCAACAATTAAATCCATACAAGATTCTTCAAAGTCAGTTGTCCGGATTGTTGGTAAGGCTTTTGCATTTTTCCATTTCATGTATTAGATTCTGTCTTCATGATATATGTGTATGTATATATATTGGTCATCGAGTTTATGCCTTGTCTTGTGACTTTGTTACATGCTGATCAAAATAAGAGAAAATGGTGATACTTATCTCAGTGTTTATACTCTATATGATGGCCCACATAGATGCGCATGCCTCATGTGCTCCTTCAATACGAATATTATGTGCTCCATGCCTGGGGTACAAACCATTCTGGTACCAAGGAAACTGGCCTGCTCAGAAATCAACTCCTTATTTTGAAGCATTCATTTGACACCAGTCAATTATAAAATCGGAGAATTCGACCCCTCACCCAAAACTACCATGATGATTGGTTGGTTTTGGTGACGTGGCTTCCCGGTAAGCCTGGATATGCTGACATGGATTTGTTTTTCGAACCATGCAGGAGAGCTGTATTTGCTATTTTAATATGCTGACATGACTTACAAATCCCCACCACGAAAAAGCAAACACATATATACAAACTATAGGACTACTGGGTAGGCACAGAATACCTGATTTTGTAGTTGGGGGTGGAGTTCACATACTAAGTGTATGTTTGATTTGTGCCTATATGTGCCGTGCCAAAATTTTGCCAGCCTAATATCTTGGCCATCATTTGGTTGGTTGCCTATGAAAAGTAGCCCACACCACCTCACATTCCCTTCACAACTCTCAAGGGCCAAGGAATCTCTACCTAATTTTTTGCCTAGCCTTGTTGGCAAAAATTGGTAGGGTGTGATATGGCACAAACCAAACATTAACCTAATAGTCTTTAAAATAACCCAGATCTGGTATTTCTGCTATCTCATAGGATTTGTGTACTTGAACCTTCCTTCTGCTTATAGGTTTGCAGAACAGCTTATTATAACTACATGCAAGATTCTTAACTTTTCTTCTCATTTTTCAATGTGCTCAGCTTTTTATTATTGTAGCATTTAGCATTTTCAAATGTTTAGAATTCAGTTGGTCCTCTAAACTGGGATGTTGATATTCATCATTGGTGACTGCAACTCTGCAAGTCTGGAACTACTTAACTTGAAAACTGCATGGGATAATTTGATACATTCGGAGAAGATGCTACGTAGCGTCAGCATTATTATGCTATATGCCTTTTTAGCTTAACATTCTAAATTTTTATCAGAAAATGTGCCCCCTGTTGCACTAAATGACGATAGAGTTGTGGAGATACAAGGCGAGCCTCTTGGTGTCCACAAAGCAGTGGAGTTGATAGCAAGTCACTTGAGAAAATTTCTTGTTGACCACAGCGTTCTCCCACTATTTGAACAGCAAGTAAGTTCGATTTCGTTTTGGCACCCTATGTTCCTGTCAATAATAAGTTTCTTGGATGCAGCATTTACAACTGTAAATTTCCATGTCAACAGATGAAAATGCACAGTGTGCAGAGAGAACAGCCCATGGCAGCCCCACAGCATTGGGCGCCTCCTCAACCCTGGGTTCCTCCTCCAAACCTCCCTCCTGGTGGTCCAGGTTATGGTGGAAATCCACAGTTCATGCCTCCAAGGCCACAAGACAACTATTATCCCCGTCCAGATGTGCCGCCTATGGAAAAGCAGCCGCACTATGGCATTTCTGCATATGGACGTGAGGCACCACCAAGTGGTACTTCAGGCAATCAACCACCACTGCATGTGGCCTCTCAGGTTAGTTGTGTCGTACACCTGCACTTGGCATTAGGATGGTGGGCTGCTTTTGAATTGCTGCTTCCTGATATGGGAGGTACATACTGATTTCTTGTGTATTTCCTCAAAAGGTACATAACATGCAAATTCCTCTCTCCTATGCTGATGCTGTGATTGGGGCGGCTGGTGCTAGTATCAGCTATATCCGTAGGCACAGTGGTGCAGCAGTAACTATTCAAGAAAGCAGAGGTGCACCTGGAGAGATGACTGTGGAGATAATTGGAAGCGCATCCCAAGTTCAAACTGCCCAGCAACTGATCCAGGTCAGTCTTCTACCCATCCTCTGACCTGTTGTTTACTTGCGCTAGTATTCTCCAAAATTGTTCATGATTGCTGCTCGACTCATTTAATTTTCTTTGATATTTCTGCCAGTTCTTATTTCTGAATCCATTTGGGAAGAGTGCACCATGCATGTTTGTACTAGTGCTTTGTAAAGCTCTTGGTCGGCCAGTTAATTTGTTTCATTGATAAATCATGTTATATATAGATATGAAATATAAATCATGTTATATATTGATGCAACCGGAATTAGGCTGCAGTACATGACTAGGAGACGCAGGTTAAGTACTTATATTTATGTATGCTTATCGCTATTTACGACGCCAACTTTTAGATGCTGATAACATGTAGCAAAACAACATCGATTGAAGTTTTGGATGATGTAGAAAAAGAAGCATGTTTTCCTGAGCGTTAACAAGATGAGAAAGAGGGCATAGTGTGGCGTCAAAATGTAGAAATTTGATGCATATATTGCTTATGCGCAACAACAAAACACCGGCCTATGTCTGGCCAAATTAAAAGCCTAATTGCAAAGAGTAGCTTCATGGAATGAACAATGGAAATGGAGAGACACTTCAAATTGTTGTTGCTATTTATGTGTATGTCAGATCTATCTCTAGACGGGCTGAACACATTCAATACAGGTTGGACATTGCTTTGTTTCTTCCATTTAAGTTGACCTGTTGCTCATGGCCATTGTTTGCCTGCAGAATTTCATGGCGGAAGCTGCTCCACAAACCCGGCCACCGGCTTCCAATCCTCCTGCTCCGCCAGTTGATCCGGGTTACGGCTCTTACCCGCCGCCGCCATATGGGGCTCCTCCCACAGGTGCAGAAGGGCCTGCTCCTCACAATGGCGGAGGCTACGGTGGCGGCTCCTACCATCCCAGCTATGGATACTAGCTGTCAGCAAGCGAAATGATTTGCTCCATCTATATTGTGATGGTTGATTGCTTTTATTGTTGCCCAATAATTACATTCTTGGATTCCTGCCCATCAAATTAGTCAGTCTGGTGTATGGGGTTGGTCGTAGACTTTGGTAGTATGTTTACCGTCGTGACATGTGGTCTATAGCTGAGCTACCTCATTGGATACAAAATACATGTTGAGTTGAGTTGGAACAATCTGCTAAATTTGGAAGACTGGGTAAAACAAATTGAATCGAACTTGGTAGCTACCATTCCCAGGTTATCGAAAGTTGTCGTGATGTGTCCCTTTAGATGGCCGCAGTCCAAAAACAAAACAAGCCAACACGCATGCTACCAAATCCTCTACCATTTCTATGCTTCAACCTCCACTCTTTTTCTATGCTTCCACGACCACTGCTGGGAACGGGGCGAGGACTCCATTTTGTTTTTCTATGCTCCCACGACCATCACTGCTGGGAACGGGTGGAGGACTCCATTTTGGTTTTCTACGCTTCCAGGACCATCACTGCTGGGAACGGCCGAGGACTTGATTTTGGGACGCTCGTTGGTTTCTTGGACGCAAGCCCAAAGACGTTGCTCTGCTTATCTTTGATGCCTCATTGAGAAAGAATCGAATGGTGTGCGAGGCCATAAAGAAGAATGTGTGGACTCTCAAGATCAGGCCTACTACCGGTGTCTCCATTGAGCACATTTGGAAGTGGGCACCATTTTGCGGCCTTTGCTTACAAGGCGCAATTCCTTGCATGACCTTCTCTCCTATGATCACATGGTTTGGAAGGCTTGGTGTCGCTAAAGGTTAAGTATTTCGCATGGTTGACTATTCAAGGCTAAATTTGGACCGCCAATAGACTTGACAAGCGGGGATGGGCCAATTGCGGGCTTTGCCCCCTTTGCAAGAGAGTGCAAGAGTGTGGCTCACACCTCTTTAAAATGCCGTTACACTTTGAGGCTTTGGGATTTGATGGAGAAGCTACGTCTCGAGGACTTGGGTTGGCCTCTTGGCATCTAGAGGACTCCGTAAAGAATTGGTGGGTAAGTCAAACTGGCGCCGGCACCACGAAGAGGAAGGCCATGGCTTCGCTTATCATGCTTGTCTCGTGGTCCACACAGAACGAGAGGAACGCAAAGGTGTTCCGCAACAAGAGGGCGCCGCCAACAATTTTACTCAACAATATCATGTCCGAGGCAAATCTTTGGGTCACTGCCATATTGAAAAAATTAGGGTCAATTGCGTTGTGAAAATAACAATTCATGCGATATTTGGGTGGATTGTAACAAACTCTGTTCTCTTCTTAATTAATACGCCCTCCGTCCTAAATAAGTGGCTCAACTTTAGTATAACTTTAGTACAAAGTTGAGACAAATCTTTTCTTTAGAGAAAAGGTGATTGCCCGACTTTATAGATAAAGCCATACGGAGAGAGTTCACAACCAGCTGAGGACGACAACATAACCATAGTTTCACAACAACACCCACGTAGGGCAGCTAGAGAGGCAACAATTTAGTCGGCACACAAGCCCAAATTAGACAACGGGGCACGCAGGCCACCACCTACGCACGAAATGGGAAAGCAGCTACGACGAAGCGCCAACGACTGGAGAAGACAACAAATTGGCAGACGCCCGCACTCTGTTGATCCACATCTCCAGGCCGTCACGATCCGCCGATTTAGTCAATAATTTTCACTGCTGCAAGAATATAGACATTTTAAACAGAACATCAACAAGTTTATTTGGGAAGACACCCTCGATAGTAAACTTGTTCCGAGTGGTCCATAGAGCCCAGTAGAGAGCGCCCGTCCCAGTCCAAAACAAACTCCTAGAGCGACCATTCAGGCCGGCCGTCAGCAACCGAACATCAGCAAAGGAGCCAGGAGCCCAAGTAGTAGAGTACCAAGAGCGAACGCAACCCCAAACCAACTTAGCTAAGTCAAAGTGAAAGAAAATATGATTAGTGTCTTCGAGAGAAGAACACAGAGCACAATGGGCAGAACCTGGCCCATTCCTTTTCTGAATCTGGTCGGCCGAGGGTAGCCGGCCCCTGAAGGCCTGTCAAAGGAATATTTTGATCATAGGGGGAACCCTAGCCGCCCAGACATGCTTGAATTTCGAGGTAGTGGAACCGGAGATAATCCGGTTATAAAGGGACTTGACTGAAAACTTCCCAGACGCGGAATGGGGCCAGGAAACAGAGTCCGCCTCCTCCGAGAGCGCGGGGAACATAACAACAAGACGGTGCCAGTCGTCCAACTCTACAAGAGAGAGGGACCTTCGGAATCCCAGGTCCCAACCGTTGCGCGAGAACTCAGAGATTGAAATCTCGGCGTTGGAGCAGTACGAGAAAAGAACTGGAAATGAGGACGCAAGGGGGGCATCCCAGTCCACCAGTTCAACCAGAAACAGGTCGAGGCCCCGTCGTTAACCACAAATTTAACATGGAGGCGGAACACCTCCCTAACTTTGACAAGATCAGTCCAAAACTGGGAAGCCCTGGTCGCAACTGCAAACATGGGGCTGCCATTAGAGAAATATTTTGCTCTTAAGATCTCAAGCCATAAAGTACCAGGGTAGGCAGTCATGATCCTCCACCACCATTTCACAATGAGACACGTGTTCATGATCCGTGTGTTGACAATCCCAAGCCCCCAAGGCTTTTAGGTTTGCAAATAGTAGCCCATCTAACTAGTCTATATTTGCATTTGTCCTCAGTGGAGTTTCAAAAGAAGGCCCCTCTATGTTTGTCAAAACCCTCGTGGGTGCCTTTAGTCAGTCTGAAGAAGCCCATAGTGAACATCGGTAAGGAAGAGAGGCAAGAATTAATAAGGGCTACTTTTCCAGCAGAAGTGTTATATCTGCCACGCCAAGGTAAAACTCTGTTCCCCACCTTAGCCACCAAAGGCTTGAACTCCTTAGAACATAGACGACAGGGGGAAATAAGGAGGCCCAAATATTTGAAGGGAAAGGCTCCCAAGGAGCAATTGAGCAACTGGGAGACCCGCAACGCTTTGGGCTCGTCAACTCCAGTGACAATAACCTTGCTCTTAGAAAAGTTAATTTTGAGCCTCGACAAGGCTTCAAAGTAGAGAAGAATAAATTTGAGGTTGACAATACATGAGTCATTCAATTCCATGAGAATGATCGTATCATCTACATACTGGAGATTAGTGAGACCCTGAGGGAGAAGGTGAGATATCACAGGAGATATATGGCCGGCTGAAGCCGCCCTATCTAGCATGCAAGATAAATCACCGACAACAAAATTGAACAAAATAGGAGATGCCGGATCCCCTTGCTGAAGGCCATGACCATTGGCAAAGTAATTGCTTCATCCGTTCACAACCACCGCTATATGGCAACCAGACACCAACTGGATCAGTTGGTGAACAACCCCTGGGTCAAAACCCTTAGCAAGCAAAACATGGCATAGGAAATCCCAGATGACCGAATCGTAGGCTTTCTCGAAGTCAAGTTTAAGGATCAAGGCCTTGGAGCCCCTCTTCCTAAGATTGTGCACGATCTCATGTAAGCAGAGAATACCATCTAGAATAAATCTGAAGGAAATATGCCCTAGAGGCAATAATAAAGTTATTATTTATTTCCTTAAATTATGATAAATGTTTATTATTCATGCTAGAATTGTATTAACCGGAAACATAATACATGTGTGAATACATAGACAAATAGAGTGTCGCTAGTATGCCTCTACTTGACTAGCTCGTTAATTAAAGATGGTTATGTTTCCTAACCATAGACATGAGTTTTCATTTGATTAACAGGATCACATCATTAGGAGAATGATGTGATTGACTTGACCCATTCCGTTAGCTTAGCACTTGATCGTTTAGTATGTTGCTATTGCTTTCTTCATGACTTATACATGTTCCCATGACTATGAGATTATGCAACTCCCGTTTACCGGAGGAACACTTTGTGTGCTACCAAACGTCACAACGTAACTGGGTGATTATAAAGGTGCTCTACAGGTGTCTCCGAAGGTAGTTGTTGGGTTGGCATATTTCGAGATTAGGATTTGTCACTTCGATTGTCGGAGAGGTATCTCTGGGCCCACTCAGTAATGCACATCACTATAAGCCTTGCAAGCATTGTAACTAATGAGTTAGTTGCGGGATGATGTATTACGGAACGAGTAAATGGACTTGCCGGTAACGAGATTGAACTAGGTATTGAGATACCGACGATCGAATCTCGGGCAAGTAACATACCGATGACAAAGGGAACAACGTATGTTGTTATGCGGTTTGACCGATAAAGATCTTCGTAGAATATGTGGGAGCCAATATGAGCATCCAGGTTTTGCTATTGGTTATTGACCGGAGACATGTCTCGGTCATGTCTACATTGTTCTTGAACCCGTAAGGTCTGCACGCTTAAAGTTCGATGACACTTATATTATGAGTTTATGTGTTTTGATGTACCAAAGGTAGTTCGGAGTCCCGTATGAGATCAGGGACATGACGAGGAGTCTCGAAATGGTCGAGATGTAAAGATCGATATATTGGACGACTATATTCGTGTTGGGGAACGTAGCAGAAATTCAAAAAAATTCTACGCATCACCAAGATCAATCTATGGAGTAATCTAGCAACGAGGGAAAGGGGAGTGCATCTACATACCCTTGTAGATCGCTAAGCGGAAGCGTTCAAGTGAACGGGGTTGATGGAGTCGTACTCGTCGTGATCCAAATCAGCGATGATCCTAGTGCCGAACGAACGGCACCTCCGCGTTCAACACACATGCAGCCCGGTGACGTCTCCCATGCCTTGATCCAGCAAGGAGAGAGGGAGAGGTTGGGGAAGACTCCGTCCAGCAGCAACATGATGGCGTGGTGGTGGTGGAGGAGCGTGGCAATCCTGCAGGGCTTCAACAAGCACCACGGGAGATGAGGAGGGAGAGAGGTAGGGCTGCGCCAAGGAGAGGAAAACTCATGTCTTTGCAGCCCCCCAATACCTCAAGT